CAGCAGGAAGCAAGATCACAACTTACATCTCTGCAGTTCTTTTCTGTGTGTGTTCTCCCCCCAAGATATGGCATTTTATAAGATTTCATAATGTTAAATGAAAGGAACAGTTCCATTGACTGGGGTTGAGAAATACGGGAAATTTCATGAGAAACGACTAATTCATCTCCATACATTCCATCAGTTTCATTGCGGTCAAAAGCAGGTGTTTCCAGGCTCTGAATAAGTAGTTTGCATTTTAAAAATTAACAGATTGGACCAACACCAAGGGAAAAAAATACAGCAATAGACAGCCCACCAGAGAATTGTTTACCAAAGAAGATGAAGCTCATGGTGATGGTTTGCAAACACCACCAGACTAGCTTGTGTAAATTCCCTTCGTTTAGTCATCGTTCTTCAGCCTGTCACAGATACTGAAGGGAAATGCAGAAACAGGAAATTACAGACTATTTTAAACAGCATGTTTTATTAAACTCACTTGCTGATGCACTTTATGGCAGGATGTGAGATTCAAGTGTTCATAACTTACATCTTTGCAAGTGCTTTTCCTAAGTGAATTCGCCCAGCTAAAATATGGCAAGTACACAGGGCTGGAAATAATCTCTAAACTAGTAACTGAGTTACTCCAGGTCATGTAGCTACATCACATAAAATGGAGAAGTTTTAGCCAAGTGAAGAGAATATACCTTGCTTATTCACTATACTATAAGAAAGCACTGGAAGCATCGTGCAGTTAACTTAAAAGATCCTTAATGCATTTATTTTAAACCACAGAATCAAAGCACAACAATCTTAAAATGAATTCCTAGAAAACATACATTGTCTCTTTTATTATTTAAATATTGATTTCATTCTTCTCTTCACAGGACATTTCTGTATCTAGTTTAAACCACCATTATTGATGCCATGTTGAATCCTTGTTTTTGAATAAGGCCTAGTAATAAAACTGGCAGGAATGTGATTACACTACAAATACAGTGACTACAAATTTCAGGGACTGTCATAAAAGTGGATTTGAACAACTAATTATTTTCAAAAACGTTTTCTGCTCGTAAGTTGTTTGAGGGATATAAAAGCTTAGCTGCATTGCAAACAAATCCTCATATCCCTGTCTGATATTTATTGTGAGGCTGGCACCTCTTAACACCCATGTCTTCGGCAAGTTGTTCTTGGCTCTCTTCTTGATACACAGAAAAGAAGTACTCAAGGGAAGCTGTAGTGCAAGTTCACGTTTGGAGGGGTGGGTAACCATGCTTTGATGGAGTTATAATCTATGAGCTCTAAAAGCAAATACCTTACATTCACTCGCTCCGGCATCTATTTAACAAAGTAGCAGGTAAAATGTTCAACATTTCCATTGTCTTAAAAGATCAGGCCGAAGATGCTTTACCCTAATTATTGATTGTTGTCAGATAGTCACTGCCACTAGGTTTAAGTTTTTCCTTAAAGTTTCAGTTTTCCTCCCAGGTCCCTGTCCCTACAATCCTGTCCCTAGGACACCTTCAAGGTGAACTTTAGAGTAATAGGATTTTAAGAGTGGAAGCATATAATGATACCTTTGCCCTTTTAAAGGGCCTTTGCCAGGCTATCCTCCACAAATCACACACTTTAAGAGAGGAAGGACCAGAGGCAGAGGTTAATGATTTGGTTACAGACATGCACCTAGATGCCTAGGGGAGTAGCAATTAAAGGCACATTTGGGGAGCTGGGCCATTTTCTTAAGTGAAGGTTTCCCCTCATTCAACTTTTAAAAGTCTGGATTCGGCCATATGAGCTTTTCCTTAAAGCAAAGAAAGCAGAGCAATAAGAAAAGGTGTTACTTCCAGCTGGAGAGACAGCAGTGTGCTGTGGAGGGCGGTCTTAGCTTTTCCCATCTCTGAGGATATAACTATAGAACCCAATTCATAGCCTTAACTATGAAGGGGAGCCTTGACCACTCTGGAAAATCTAAGTTAACATCTCTTTTTTTTTTTATTATTATTATTATTATTTTTTTTTTTATTTTTTTACCGGTATACGGGCCTCTCACTGTTGTGGCCCCTCTCATTGCGGAGCACAGGCTCCGGACGCGCAGGTCCAGCGGCCATGGCTCACGGACCCAGCCGCTCCGCGGCACGCGGGACCCTCCCGGACCGGGGCACGAACCCGTGTCCCCTGCATCGGCAGGCGGACTCGCAACCACTGCGCCACCAGGGAAGCCCCCATAAGTTAACATCTCTTGAGTAGAAATCACAAGGTAGGCACAGAGGAGGCCCTAACGCTTTCACACCAACACCAGAAACATTTTTGTTACTTGGATAGGTGTTTAGGGATTATTTTTTAGTAAAGAAAAAGTATGCTGGAAATGTCCTAGAAACAAAAACTTGATTACTAAATATTACACATTTTAATGCTGCTGGATTCAAAGGCACCCGTCATCCTGCAAAGAAGCGCTAGTGGGTTCTGTGGAAAATCACCAACTCCATCATTTTACAGCTTTGGCCACCATTATCTAGTAATGCTGGGGGCTTTTAAAAAGCAAAAATATAAGTCCTTTCTTTCATATTTAAATCTCCATGATGTATTACGCTCACAATAAGAATGCTACTTTAGGCAAATTAACTAGCTTCCAACTAGCTTGCCCCTTTTATCAAATGAAATATTAGCCTCTAAGAAGAACAACAATACAGAATTGCATGCGATACTACTGGCAATAACCCCTGTAGCTATTTTAACCGTTTACATATGGGCCATCTTCTTGACAATTTGACATTTCATAAAGGAATCAGCTAGGATTCAGTAGTTATGGCTTCATGTTATGCTATTTTTTTCAGAAACTTTATAAAAATGAAAACCTTCAGATCCTTTAAGATAAAACCTTATCGATCACAAGCCACATCATTTACTAACACTGTGCTCTTAATCAACAGAAATCTAAACCTACAAACTAGGAGCATTCTGAAACACCTGTTAGATGGGCCTCTCAAAGTACACTTTAACTTTGGAAACGCCTGTGTGGCCACTGCCCATGACAGTTTCTAGACATTTTGAGTTTTTTAAAGGAGAAAGAGCAATGGAAAAGAGAAAAAATAAGCCAACAGTCATTAAAATAAGAAAATCTGAATGAATTTTGATCATTTTAATAAATATATATCAAGAAAACCTCACTTTATTACAACAACACAATCATATACAAGCATCTATCATCTAAGTTTTCAACATCAAATGTTTATCAAATATTGAAAATAAAGGACAAAACATCACTAGACTATTCAGCCATAACACAAGAACAGGTTTTAAAAATTGGTCCTTGTGGACATTGTCCAAATGATGATCCTACTCATACACTGTATGAATGAGACCTATATTTAATATTAATAGCAATAATAAAAAAGCTTTATCTTGGAGAAACTGGGAGGACTTGCTTATTTCCTCCGTTTGGCATTTGGTTCCTGTGAAGTATTGTGTAAGGAGGCCCAAGTCAGCCAGTAACCTTGGAAATGGGAATACAGTTTAGCAGGCGTGGCTGGTGTGGAAGGAAGGATGGTCAGAGGGGTACTCTGAACATCCTTGCCAATGCACAGATGAAAGAAATGATTGAGAAAAATGTTGACCAAATACATAGGAGCTTTTGCCGACTGAGTCCCATTTCTCCAAAATAACTTCCCCCAAACTAAAACCTTTACATTCTTTAAGATAAAACCTTATTGATCACCACATCATTTATCAACATTGTGCTTCGTAATCAACAGCAAAAGTCATATATAAAAAACCACATGCTTTTATAATCTAAACGAGTGAAATGATGCAAAACAGATTAAAGTATGATGCATGCCACTGGTTCATGAACTTCATTGGACAAGAAATCGAAACAAAACAACCCAAAACCCAGAAAACCCAAACCCCAGCAACAGACCGTTGCCATAGAAAAGCTTGAGCAGCCAGTGCTGGTTTCTAACAGCTCTGTCTATTGTTTCCTCCATCCCTTTCTAAAAATGCCAAATCCGAAAGCAATTGGGCATCAAAAACAAAGGAAGAATAGAGATGTTGAATCAAAAGTTGAACGCAATAGTTCGACATTAACGGTTTCCAAACAATATTGATCCACCCTGTGTGTTTTTTTTCCTGTTTGTTAAATCCCTGCTGTACTCTGATTTATCCTTAATTTTCACATTGGCAAAAATTAAGATAAAGTAAGGCACCAAAAATCGCCCTGTATAATATATCTCTAAAAGCCTCATCACCCATCACAGGCAAGCTGGGAACTTGCAGGGATTAGCCTCTACTCATATTGTTGATTGCTGCCCCTAGACAGGTGTGCTTCATTACGTTCTATTCCTATTTTCATCTGTCACACAAGACTGTTGAATCCAAACACTTAACAGCACCAGGAAGCCATTTCACCTAGCTCCCTGTCTTCAGTCTTTTAGTCAGAAAAAAATACTGTATCATAGAGAAGAAGCAGACATTCTTTGCTGGTTATATTGATTTGCTTACCAAATAACTACCTAATTAAGTGGCAAACAGGTGGAAGGTTCTTCGCTAGTGACAGGCGCCTGGAGGTCACGGAAATATCACAAGGGCACATTGTCCCCCATTCTAATCTACTGATCTTTTCTGTAAGAAAACTAAGATATACTTTTAAGCGTCAACTGTGTTCTCGGTAACGTCACCACATTCATAAGTAGCTCGCCAATGCCTACTATACGGACGTTTTATGCAATCTGCTCTCCAGGCATTAAAATGACATGGCATGTTCATGGCATAATTGTATCAGTTGTACAAAACTCTAAAATCCATTCAAAATAAAATTTATGAGAGCTAATTGATCATGCTGTGCATGCTTCAAAGTTTCGGTGAGAAGACGGCTCATATTTTACTTCCTTTGCTGCAGCACAGTTTGTTACTTGGTGAAGGCTCCTTTTTCCTTAAGGACTTTTTCCACGACTCACTTACATTGCTTTTTTCATTATATCCAGTCTCAAAATAATCATAAAATTGGCCTTTGCACTCAAAAGCAAGGTCATTTCCCACAGGTTCATGGCTTAGGGGGCCACCATCCCTGTTGGTGTCATCATTTGCTTTCTCATTTAATTTGGCCTTTTCCTGAACACCAAGTGACCTCACATTAGTAACAAAGATTTCATTGGCAGGTATCTGGCCATCACCCTTGTAAATAGGTGCACTGCCTACATCAAAATCCACCTGGTGGGAACAGCTCGGTAAAGGCAGAGGGGGAGAGGAAGAGGAAGATGAGGAGGAGGAAGAGGCAGTGGTGGAGGCATTTCCGACATTAGCATTGACAGAAAGGGGTAAATTTAGGTAGTGACCACCACATTCTTGGTACAAGCAGCAGGCATGAAACTTTTCACACTCCTCTTTGGCCATCCGAGGTCGTTTCCGGTAAGGACAGTCTTGAGCCATAAACCACTCCTGGGCAGAGGTGCCATTGAAAGAACAGGCAGGAAAGCACCAGTTATTCTGCATGATAATTTCTCCATGGATCCTTTTCATCAAATTGTTTATAAGGACAGATCTTCGGAGGTACACTTCAGGATCATCGATAAACTTTAGCTTTTCTAAGGACATATAAAGGATGTGGGCTCGTTCCTCAAAGATTGAGATGGTCTAAAAGTCAAAAAAGGAAGAGAAAGCTTAGGAAATGGTCTATATTAAAATATCATCACAGCACATTTCTCTCTTGGCAGTTTCTGAGTCTGTGAGTCTGTGATCTTGTTTCCCCAGGTTCATTTAGAGATGCTGTCCCAGGGGCTGCTAATGTCTCCCCTTCCCAGCAGACTCACTGGTGACGTCGAGCACTGGGGAATCCAGCCACAATGCAGAACTCGGCAAGGACAGGTCAGGATGTCTGCTCTTTTACGGCTCAGTGAGGGGGATGCCGAAATGCACAAAACTAATCTATGCTGTTAGAAGTCAGGAGAGGGGGTTCTTTGGAGGGCAGAGAGGTAGTGACTAAAAGGGGACCCAGGAAAGGTTCTGGGTTGCTGGTTATGTTGTTTCTTTATCTGGATGTTAGTTATATGGCTACTTCACACTTTGTGAAATTCATCAAGCTGGACTCTCATGACACTTGGGCCTTTATATGACACATATATATTATATGTCAATAAATGCTTTTTAGAGTATGCCAACATGCAGGTCATCATAAGTATACTTCAGACCCTGGCCTAGCCATCAAGGGGCATGAGATCTGGCTGTCAGATCTGGCTGTCAGATCTCATGGCTCTCTCTGGCTGTTTTTCTGGGTTTCATTCTTGCAATTATCTTTGCTTGATAGAGGGACAAAAATAATGAATGAGGCTCAAACCCTAAAAGGAACTGTTGGTTGAAGGGCCAAAGTAGGCTTTTTCTGGTGTTGGGGAGGAGGAAAGATGCAGAGAGGGAATCAGACGACTCACTCCTGAGCTGTGTGATACCATCACTGTGTGATCATTGCTACAAACCCAGTGGCAATTTGGAAAACTGCTATAAGCCACAACACAGAAACCAAAAAGGACTTAAAATGCTTGTGTCCTGGGGGCTAGCTCTTCCAGGTCATAAAAAGAAAGCCAACCTGAATTAAACCAGCCCAAGCTGACCTAACGGAGGAACTACAAATGCAGGGGAAAGCCCAGCACCTGCCAATGCATGCTGATGACTTTTTATGAGCAGAGTCAAAGTAACATCTAAAGGGTGGGAGTGGGGGAGAGGGAGTAACAAGTGAGGAAGATGATTAAAAGATTAAAAAATCTTCTCTGAGTTTCAAAAAAACTCTGGTCTGGGTTATCCTCTCCTCGATTAAACCAGCAGATTGTTTTTGAAGGAAGGTAGCCATAAGGAAAAGGAACTGGTATTTCAAAAGCTTAGACAGCCAGTTTTGTACTTCTGTGCACTTTCCCAATCCTGTTATTTTCTTCTTATACGTGCAAAAAAGTTAGCTTTGGTTTTTTCCTGGGAATGAATTATATATTTTAACAAATGAAACATGTGTAATGAATGCACCATGAAGGACGTTTCTTACTTTCATGCACACATTCAAAGGATGGTGAGTCCCCCGCTGAGAGGTCAGGAAAAGCCCTGAGTGACCACCCCCGTGTAGGCACATATGTGTGGCATTGGCCATGGTAGCTGGAGCTCAGATACGGGGAACAGGTCAGGGAAGAACAGGTGCATTTCTGCACACGTGAAAGCACCAGTCACCATGACCCTTAATGCAACTTGAGAAAATGACATCATAAGTAAAAAAGACATTCTTCAGATTATATAATTTTGTTATTTCTGGGCAGAGGAGCTCTTGCTGGCTCTTTCTTCAAATACTTGTGAAAAATAACACAGGACCCAAAAAAGTGACAACAATTAATATGGCTCTGCTGAGAAGTGGCTCATTTTCATTGCTTGGGTGGAACAATTTAATTTCTGGAAATGGACCAAGCAACTGTTACTAAGTATCTTAAACTCTTAATAAAAATAATGACTATTAAAAAAAACATACTTTATGGCTACAGCTGCTGAGTGGTGGGTGAAAATCCTCTTCTTCCACATACTTCCTCTTAAAGTATGTGATCTTGGATGTTGTTATAGGATTTGAAACTCCCCTGTAATGTGATCCTGTGGTAATAAATCAGATATGACAAATGACATGCGGTTTGCCAGAGGTTCTCCAAACAAAATACTTGCCTTGCCTTGCCTTTTAGAAGATAACTTGGCTACGTATTTGTCTGTACATGTGGTGATTAAAAATAAACATTAGTCTTAATAGTTGCTATCATACAGAATCCTGTGACCCAGGCTAGGCAAGGATTTCTAGACAGTTATAGACGAAAATGACATATTTCAGCACTTACTAAATACTCAGAATCTTAACTCTATGCACAGGCAAACAGCAACATTCATAAAGGGGAGTAGTGTAATAACTCTGAAATAGTATTAGTATTTATTCCAATTATTTAATTAAACCCATGGTAATATAACACCACTGTTCAAATGTATATATCTTTAACTGTAAGCACTAATAACCAAATAACATTTAAATATTACTGGCTCTCAGTAAGTAAGCAAATTATTATCTGCACACTGGAGTCATAATATTCCTTCTTTTAAAATATAAAATTTTAAATTTTTAAATTTAAAATTAAAATTCAGGATAACAAAAGTCCTTTTTGCTCTCAAAAATGTAACATATCAACCATGAATAAAAGTAGGGCCTAATTTTTAAAGACCAAGCTTTTAATCCTTTTTAGCAAATCTGACTTCAACAAGTACTCATTTTACATTTTAGGTTTTTGGGTTTTTTCCAATCACTAGTACTACACAAAAATCCAAAGGAACTCACTTTAAAGTATAAGAATAAAGAATCAGGGAGAGCATATTTTTTTTCTGGGCTTAAATTTTTTTTTTTTCCTATGATACCAAAGCCAATTGCACGCTTAATAAAAAGAAGAGCCACATAGCTGCTGGCCCAAAGTGCAGATTCCTTTATGTCTCATGGGATAAAGACTTCATTGTCAAGCCCACCAGGGCTTGTGTAGCTCTGAGAGAACCATACAGTTCCAGAAGGTAGAAAACTGAAATGCAAACTGAAGTTTCAAGATCTGGTTTGGTTCTCTTAAAAACACAGATGCCTGACTTTTACCCCAAGCAGCGGCACATGGAAACTCAGGTTTGAATGCAATTAACATCACTCCTGGTCCCTTCCCTGGAGCCTTGGGCTCACTTATGAGCGGTACATAGGCAGCCTGGGACGTCCCTGGAGCACGAGCTCTCAGCTCAGAAGGGTGCCCCAGACACCACCGTTGCCCATCAGTCTGGCCGCAGAGGGCAGCAGGGGAAAGTCAAGGGCAGTACCTGCCAGCGGGGGACCAGCTCCCCGGTCTCCCTGCAGAGGAGCCTGTGCTGGCCCTGGGGGGCTTTGGCCTCCGTAGCTGTCAGCCTCCCATAGTGTCTGGTACCCGGCAATTTCAGCAGCTCCTTCCGAGACAATGGGCTCGCAGAATCTATTCATGGACAGAACCAGAGTCATCTCTGACAGCCTCAGATCTGAAAAGAAAAGAAAACAGCCCTAATCAAGAGCAAGCCAGGGGATGGCCTTGGCTCCTTCTTCGTCTGCTTTGGGAAACTTTTGCGCCTCAGTCCTCCCCTTTGCCCTGAAACATTTTATTATTTTTTCAAAGAAAACCTCAGCAAACTCTCTTGCTGCTATTAGCTCAGCCTCTGTGCTCAGCAATCTGCATTTCATGGGCGGATCTTTAAAAACCCCATTTCTTATTGTTCTCAGATTCCCCTCAGCCCTCTTCCAGACAGCTGCTTTGCCTCCTAAACACATTTTCCTCCTGACCTTCCCGCAGAAAATGTACCGCTAAGAGGCAAGGCCAAAACCCTTGCCGCTTTCTTTCTATTAATAAGGCAAAAATCAATTTTCTAGTCAATCCCCTGAGAGTCTCCTTTGATGAAATCCGCTAATCAATCAAAAGAAAAGGAAGGAGGAGACAGAAATCTTCCCCGGAATCCCTACTGATGCTCTCAGGTTCAGTCTGTTCCGCTGCCCGCTGCCCCCTCTTCCTCTGTTTCTGCAGGGCCAGTTCCACTGCAACATTCTGGGGCTCTCTCCACTTTCTTCTCCCAAAGCGAAGCAGACAGAGACACACTTGGTAGTTGTTTCCACCAGCCCTGATTGGCCTGAACTGGATCTGCCTCCAGTCAAAACACTGAGAGATGAAGACAGAAAATTGGCTCCAGTTTCCAGCCATGAGTTGCAGTCCCACAGGAGCCAAGCACAACATCAACGGAGCAGGCGGAATATTAAACAGGAGCCAGGGCTTCAGGGCCAGAGGCAGCGGACAACTCTACACCGCAAAGCCCAGAGGCAAGGCAGAAACTTTCCAAGAGGCAAAACACCACTGCGCTTCTGTCCAGTTCACGCCCTTCCCTAGGGTCTGTGGGGAAACTGGGAGCCTCTCTACTCTTGGGATGTGCCCTGGGCTCCTCGGCACCTTGGGTGGTGAGGGCCTTTCCCTGGGGGCTCAGTGTCTTCACCTGGTCCTAAGTAGGGCTCAAGGTGGGGTCCAGAGTGAGTGCAAAGGAGAAGAGGATCTAAAGCCAGCAGACCTCGGGGCCATAGATCAGTGGTGACTGCAGAGCAGCCTCCGTGCCTTATTATCCACCAATTCGTTTACGAGACCCAAACCTCCACTATCTCACTTTGCCGTTTAAAGAACTGTCACAAAGAGTGATGACAGGCCTGCTTTCTTGAAGATTGATTGTCTTTCAAATAGACGCTAAGGGTCTAGGTCTTGCTTCCTTCTCCAAATTATACAGCTTGTAATGTTTTGGTGAAAGAGTGAATCTACTATTGTCTCGTGGGAGACTATTATTACCTACATGTTATAACAAGGGTCCACTTCCAGGTAAAAGAAGAAAAGGCACAAGGGGACGGGCTTCATTAAGTAACCATGTACTTCTGGCTAACAGAGCAGCTCTTGGCAGCAATGACTCCATCACCCAGACTTCTCTCTGAGACCTGAAATTCTGTCCCAACCTCACTGAAGAAGTCAGTCAAGCCTTCTGACATACAGGGGAGGTGTCCAGGTCAGTGGCTGGAATTAGGACCCAGCTGATTTGGGCTGCTAAATTACCTACCCCCTTTCTTTTAAAATGCCCTCCAAAGAGGCAGCAGCAAGGACTTATTAGAAAACCTTATTTCAAGAGAATAAAAAAGGTTCAATTAATTCTCTAAAAAGAAATGGTCGGACATGCCATTTATTCTGTTCTTTGAGTCATCAATCAAGAAATTTAGACCACACTGATTTCACAAACTAAGCCATTCTATCACCCCTCAAACTCAACATCCAAACAAAGTATTTATTTCCTGGAAGACTCTTATGAAATGGTCCAATTTCTTAACTTATCTAAGAGACAACTGTATCAGGAAGTGCTATTGCCAGGAGCACATGAATTATATAGCTTTTTCTCGGAGTCAGTAGCCCCTGTCTCATTGACTGCAACAGTATTTTCTCGCTTGAAATTTACACTCACTTTGTGCTAGATTCTGGGAATAAGATCCAAGCTTTTTGCCTACGCGGAAATTTTATTACATATAAACCAAAGCACGTTGACAAATCCATATCGCATAAGACAGAGAAGCATTTGCAGGCCCCTAGCAGCAACTACCTTTGTTTAAAAGGACATTATATGGGCCCTGTGCTATTTTATGTTAGTAAGAGTTTGTCTATATTTTAATGACTTATCCTTGTAGCTTTTTGGTTGTTAAGGATTTCAGCGTTTCTATTTGTTAGTATTGTTTCCGGCATGAAATTCTACTCATGCATTTGAACTTGAAACATGGCATAATAGTTTTTATCTTGGCTGTTTCTCTCCTTTTACGATATCTAGTTTCAGTAAGTTTTTCTTTTCTTGAATGGGAAACTTTTACACACAAAATCCTAAACTGGAGAGGTGAGTTCCAAGAGTGATTTATGTAAGTCCAAATAAAAAATAAACGAGTTGGGATTATTTGGGAGCGGGGAGATTTTGCAATTGAGTCTTCCTAGTCTATCCAGAACTTACACTGGGACGTTAGGAAATTAAGAAGGCAAGTTTAACGTTCATGAAATACTGGAGTATGGGGCACAAAGCCATGATTCTTTTTATTTGTATTATATGTACAGATCCAAACTGTCATTTTTTCTCAGTACAGTGAGATTTACATTATAATTCTGCTAATGAGTTCAGAAGTTGAAATTCACAAATTTATGTGCTGTTAATACTAGTCATGTATAGTAAATTTTGTTTTTTTTTAACATCAGCGGTGAGTGAATTCAAAAGAAGGGTGTTAAAGTGTGTTTTGTCTACACAAGTGTTTAAAAAAATAAAAACTAGAAAGGTCCTAACCTTTTATCCTCAGGCTCCTGCATGTCTGTTTCGTCAGCCAAGGGAATGTAGTAGAATGACACCTCAAGCATTCCCAGAAAGCCAAGGGCTAAAATGTCAAGTTTTTCCAGCAAACGTTCACAGTAAAGTTACCAGGCATTTCTATACAATTTGTTTTTTCCAGATGAGTTGGGCTTCTTCTTTCCTTGGAGCCATGATGATGCTAACAGGGTAGCTGCAGATTCAGTGATGCCTTCCATCCAACAGGCGATCCTGGTCACTCTTTGCCACCCCCTCCCCCTCATCCATCATTAGAAAACATTTTATTAAGAGCATTATAGAAGTTAGAGGTCTGACTCCAATACTGAAATGCAAGAAAGTAAAGGGCTGGTATTTTCGATACACCTTTGACACTGCCGGTCTTAGCTGTCCGGCCCAGGTGTAATCAAGCCCTTGACCTGACACTGCTCCTAACAAGACCTCAACAGCTTGTCCAGCTCGTGGTAGTGGTGGTGGTGGTGGTGGAAGGGGCTGGGTGGGTGGAATGAAATCCTTCAACCCTTCTAAATAGACAGATACTACTTTTCTACCAGTCCCAGCAGTACACCTGTCTGCCCTGGGAAATACCTTTCCTCAGCTGCAGCTCTGAAAGGCCAAAATCTTTAGGTCGGGTCCTGGGGCTGGAATGCGGGTGCTGAGCAGGAGGGAGACGACGGGGTGCCCGGGTGCCCGAGCCCGGGAGCCAGGTCTCCCCATCCCAGGCCTAAGACTGGGATCCGAGGTTTAGAGACCCACCCCCTGCAGGGGGGCAGCAGACACCACGTCCGAGTTCCCACACTGACACACCCTCGCGTGTCGGTGCCGCAGCCCAAGTCCCTCTCCGGGGAAGCGGGCAGAGCCCTGCAGGCCGCCGACCGAAGGAGAAAGTAAACAACACCCCAAGTGTCTGGGAACAAAGGCAAGTTGTCTTTCCACGGTGCTGGAGCCGTGCGCCTCTCCTGAAGAATAAGAGCTATGATTATTCTTCCTTTTCTTCTTCTTTTTTTTTTTTTTAAACCAAGTTTCCTTCTAAGGGCAATAAACACCAAAGGTAGGATTCCAAGGAAATGACTCACGGCGGTTGGCAGGGCTCTAGAGAGGCTGGCCCCGGCCCGCGCTCCAGCCCGCAGCAGATGCCTGCCCGGCCCTCCCCCTTTCGCCGGCCAAACCCACTCGGAGCCCGCGCCTGCGGGATCGCCCTGCGCATCCGTTGGAGCCGGGCGGCCAGGACTCTGCCCGTGCCTCCCGCAGGCGCCCGCCGTGTCCGCGCCACCCTCGGCCGCTGGGCCGCCTCTGCGGTCCCGGCCGGGCACTCCGGAAAGTTGCTAGGGCAGTGGAGGCGGGAGGGGAGGCAGGGAGGAGAGAGGCGGAGGCGTGGACCAGGCGGGCAGCAGCCGAGCCCGCCGGGGAGGTGAGCTGAGGACAGAGGAGCCGCCGCCGCCCGCAGCGCGGCTCGGCTGCCTGGGAGGAGAGCGCGGGGGCGGAGGTGGCGGGGGGACAGAAGGTGTCAGCTCCTGCAGCTATTCCTTTTTCTTGCAAACGCGCGCTCCTGACATCCACCATCCCTCCCTCCCCACCTGCCAAGCGCCGCGGCGTCCAGACCTGGTGGCATCCCTCCTACTGACCCCCGCCCCCCAGGACAAGGGAATAAGCGGCCACCAAGGACCCTGGGGTCTCACTAGAGCTGTGGTCCCCACCCGCCCCTAGACTCGCCTCGGTGCGCGCGGGCTGCAGCGCGAGCAGCCCTAGAGGCGGCGGTGGTTCCCGCCCGGGTAAAGGCTCCGCGGCGCTCGCCAGCGCCGGGAAAAAAGCCCGCGCCGCCTCCGCGCCCAGCAGCGCCCCGGCGCCCCAGCCGCTCCGGGTCCCGCTTCGGCCGGTGCGCGTCCACTCGGTGACCCCGGAGCAGCCCCGGGGGAGCCAGTCAGCCCCAGAAGACGCCCGAGGGGACCGGCTGTCGCGCTCCACCCGGCCCGGCCTCTCCGCCCCCGCCGCCCGCTCCCAGCCCGGCTCTTACCGCGGGGTCAGCCGGAAGGCGGCGGCCGCGGCTCTCGAGCTGCTCCTGGCCCTCTCCGGGTTCGGCGCCAGCCCGGCCGCCGGTGCACACTCGCGCGGGTCCCGGCCCGGCGGCCCGGTCGGCGGTGGCCGCTGGAGCGCGGCGGGCAAGGGTCCCGGCAGGTCCCGCCGCCGCGACTGGGGTGCTGCGCCGCCGTCGCTGCAGACGGTTATGGTAATGAGCGGCTCTGTCTAGCGAGGAGCGTGTGAAACCCGTCAATCCTGTTTGCCATTTCCCCGTGGATTTCCGAGGAGAGGTTCTGCAGGATGCCCCCAGGGTGAGAAAAGGAACATGACAAGCGCGCCCGCTCTCCTTCCCTCCCTCCCTCTCTCTGCTCCCTCCGCTCCCGCCGCCACCGCCGCCGCCGCCGCCGCCGCCGCCGCCGCC